CAAGACCAGAATGGACACTTGTAGCCAACATTTTTTATTTGAAAAGCCAGAGACAATAAAACGACCAAAATTTAACACTTACTGACTATTTGACTAAACATAAAGCAACCTCGTCACGATTTGAGTTTCATTTGCATTAAAAAGCCCTAAAACTTTATTCAAATTTGGAGACACAAGTTCTCGTCTGGAAATTTCATTTTTCCCATTTCCAAACGTGAATTCCCATCAATCACAAATGCCGCACCAAGGCATTGAATTTCACTTTGATTATCGTGGCGGTACTCTTGATATTACACCTTTAATGGGTCTCGACATGATGATGATGACGATGGCTATCGTAAAAGCTATTCATTTATTTACAACGACAAAATAAATATTTACGAAATAAAAACGATAAAGAAACCTAAGAGAAAATCAATTTTTATTAAAATGTGGGAGTTTTGTGGAGAAATAAAATTAATGTAGCTCCTACAGATCCTATTAGGATTTTTATACCCTCCACCTTGGAATAGAGGGTATATTAACTTTGTCATTCCGTTTGTAACATCCCTAAATATTCGTTTTAGACCCCATAAAGTATATATATTCATAATCAGCATAAAAGTCTAAGTCGATTTAACGATGTCCGTCTGCCTGTCTGTCTGTTGAAATCACGATACAGCCCACATTATTTGACGTAGAGCTCCAAAATTTAGCAGAGCTATTTGCATTGTGTCTAGAATGGTTGGTATTTAAAATGAGATATATCGGTCCACGTTCTGGTATAGTCCCCATATAACGGTACCTCCCGATATTCGGTATTTTGATGATTTATGCCACATTTTTTCACGGATTTGTCTTAAAATTGGTATTTGTAGGTCCCTGAGCGTGTGGCAAAACATTGCATATATAGGTCCACGTTGTGGTATAGCCCCCATATAAAGGTACCTCCCGATATTTAGTATTTTAGTTTTTTTACCACATTTTTTCACGGATTTGTCTGAAAATCGGTATTTGTTGGTCATAATGGGTTCCAGCTCCGGTGGCGAAACATTGTAATTATAGGTCCACGTTTTGGTATAGCCCCCATATAACGGTACCTCCCGATATTCGGTAATTTGATGATTTTTGCCACATTTTTTTAGGAATTTGTTCGAAAACTGGTATTTGTTGGTCATAATTGGTTCCAGCTTCGGTGGCGAAACATTGCATGCATGGGTCCATGATTTGATATAGCCCCCATATAACGGTACCTCCCGATATTCGGTATTTTGATGGTTTTTGCCACATTTTTTCACTGATTTGTCTAAAAATTAGTATTTGTCGGTCATAATGGGTTCCAGCTCCGGTGGCGAAACATTGTAATTATAGGTCCACGTTTTGGTATAGCCCCCATATAACGGTACCTCCCCATAATCGGCATTTTAATGGTTTTTGCCACATTTCTTCTAATGTTTCTTTTACCCTAAGGTGGAGGGTATTAAAAGTTTGGCCCGGCCGAACTTAATGTTTTTTTACTTGTTAAGTACTCAAAATGCACAATTGCACAATATGGCTAGAGAGGGTATACATCATTTGATACGGCCAAAACGTGCCTCATCGAAATAACGATTTTAGACCCTAGGTCTCTTTGGACCAAATTCGTTTCATGAAAGTTGGAGTCGATCTAGTGATGTCCGTCCGTCTGTGTGGATGGTGCGCACGATAACACTCGAAGGGAGTATCCGATTTGGTCCAAATTTGGTACATCGTAATATTATTATCAAACATAGATCGAGTTCGGAGATGGGCAATACAAATCCACGCCTACTGGTACCTCCCCTGTAAAAAAATTTAAAAAAAAAAATATTTTATTGGACAGAAAGAGAAATGATGATCCGATATTACTCCAACTGTGCAAACCCTAATATTTCCATCAGTGCTTCGTCAGCTGCGAAAATGGACAATATCGGTTCACTCCATCAAGTACCTTTCTCCCAAAGGGTCAAAATTTTAATAATTATAACTATTATAAAATGTAATGTATGAGTACGCTTGTCTTCAAATTACACACATGACAATATTTTTATTAACCTAAGGTCTACTCCTTCTGGTACCTCTCCCACAAACACGAAATTAACCTCCCATTCCATTCAGACTTGGCACATCTCAATATTTCCATCAACGCAAGTTCTATCATAAAGATGGTTGAGATCGGACCATTTCATCTAATACCTCCCCCACAAAGGGTCAAAGTTTCGAATAACCAAAACAATATATCTTATTTCACACATCTCATTATTTCTACTAATACAATGTCTGCTGTTAAGATGGAATATATCGGTTCACTCCTTCTGGTACCCCCCGCACAAAGAGTCAACCTTTCGAGTATCCATTAAGCTCATAAAACGCGAAATATAATTTAGCTAAAATCATCAAAATACCGAATATATGGAGGTACCATGGGGGTTATAAAACGTGAACAATTTTCTGCCATAGGCTGTAGTATCCATTACGAACTTCAAATACCAAATTTAAAACAATTCCGGTGAATAATATCGCTAAAATCATCAAAATAACGAATATCGGGAAGTACCGTTATATGGGAGCTATACGAAGACGTAGACCTGCACAGACAATTTTCTGTCATAGGCTGCAATATTCATTTCAAACTTCAAATAATACCAAATTTGAAAGAATTCCGTTGAATAATGTCGCTAAAATCAACAAAGAACCGAATATCCGGAGGTACCTTTATATGGGGGCTATACGAAGACGTGGAGCTGCATGGCCCATTTTCAATACCAAAAGTTCTGCATAATACACATTTGAGTAAATTTTTATCAACTTACTTCCGTTTGTTCAGAAGCTAGAGTGATTTCCACAGACGGATAGACGTATAGTACACATTTCCGAAAAATATAGTACTTCTTAGTACTTTTCGTGCACTTGTGATCCCTATTCCAAAACCTACCCTTTATTACAAAGCAACTACAAGCAATACAAAATTTTAAATTTCCAAATTCATCCATTTTCCCTAAGCCAAACAATTTCAAATATAGTACCATTTTGTACAGTGCGCACACTTAGGACTCATTCCCTAAACCACCTTCAAATATAAAACTTTCTTTCCAACCTTGACTCTTATACCAAATTTCAGGTTTTAAGATCTATCCGTTTACAAAATACCAAAAGGTACATTTAGTACATTTCTAGTTCGAGTTTACAAAAACCTAGCCTTTCTTACCCAATATTTAGCTTCAGCCTTGCTTGGGCAATGATACCAAAGGTACATAATACCAAATTTAGTACCATTTTTATACCCTCCACCTTGGTAAGGATATATTGAAGGGTATATTAAATTTGTCATTCCGTTTGTAATATCCTTAAATATTCGTCGTAGACCCCATAAAGTATATATATTCATATTCAGCATAAAATTCTAAGTCGATTTAACGATGTCCGTCTGTCTGTCTGTTGAAATCACGATACAGCCCACATTATTTGACGTAGAGCGCCAAAATTTAGCAGGGCAATTTGTATTGTGTCTAGGGTGGTTGGTATTGAAAATGAGATATATCGGTCCACGTTCTGGTATAGTCCGCATATAACGGTACCTCCCGATATTCGATATTTTTATGATTTACGCCACATTTTTTTACGGATTTGCCTGACCTACAAATTAGTATTTGTAGGTCATAACGAGTCCCTGTGCGTGTGACAAAACATTGCATGTGTAGGTTCACGATTTGGTATAGCCCCCATATAACGGTACCTCCCGATATTCGGTATTTTTATGGTTTATGCCACATTTTTTCACGGATTTGTCTGAAAATTAGTATTTGTAGGTCATAATGGGTTCTAGCTCCTTTGGCGAAACATTGCATGTGTAGGTTCACGATTTGGTATAGCCCCCATATAACGGTACCTCCCGATATTCGGTATTTTGATGATTTATGCCACATTTTTTCACGGATTTGTCTGAAAATTAGTATTTGTAGGTCATAATGGGTTCTAGCTCCTTTGGCGAAGCATTGCATGTGTAGGTTCACGATTTGGTATAGCCCCCATATAACGGTACCTCCCGATATTCGGTATTTTGATGGTTTATGCCACATTTTTTCACGGATTTGTCTGAAAATTAGTATTTGTAGGTCATAATGGGTTCTAGCTCCTTTGGCGAAGCATTGCATGTGTAGGTTCACGATTTGGTATAGCCCCCATACAACGGTACCTCCCGATATTCGGTATTTTGATGGTTTATGCCACATTTTTCACGGATTTGTCTGAAAATTAGTATTTGTAGGTCATAACGGGTCACTGTGCGTGTGACAAAAATTGCAACAAACAAAACGAATACTTAAATCCCATATAGATTTCATTTCCTAAGTGCATAATACCATCTCTATCGGTTCACAACAATTTGAACCAAATTTAGTACCATTTAGTACACGAATTCTTATTCCTCAGGATTTCAAAATTATGGGTTTACCCAAATTTAAATTGTACCAATTTTTGTACCATTTATTACACATAAGTATGTGTATTTTCAAAGCATCCTACATACTCCAATCATACACTCCCGCAGTAATACCAATTCCAAGTTTCAGGATTCCACCCCAATCGGTTCGCCCAAATTCAAATTGTACTAAATTTAGTAGCACGTAGTACACATAAGTACGAATTTTCACAACTACCTACCTATTTCAGCATTTCAGCTTTATCGCCTAAATCAAAATTGTGCCAAATATAGTACCATTTAGTACCATTTTAGTTTGTGCTGATAAATACAAATTTCGAAAACTACATCCACACCCCAATCCAACGCCAGCTCCATCTGTTTCTCCAAATTTTGTACCGTTTAGTACTTCGAAAATTACATCCTCACATCGACCCTACTCCTCAATCTAGATTCCCATATCACGTTTTTAACTCTAACGGTTCACATGATGCAAAATCGTACCATTTGTAATACATTTTAGTACTTTTCGTACACTTATAGTGGCTAACTTTCTAAGTCTGAACATGGTATACAATCAATTCGAATTTGATTCGGGTGAAGTGACAACTACATTTTTCAAAATTTGTATTTCACAAAATTATTCGAAGTGCGATATACATAAATACATTTTTCTTCTATAATCATGTCCAAATTAACAGAAATTTTTAACAGTACAACCGTTAAAGGACGAGCCAACGTAAGATAACTAATATTTATATAATGAATTTATTTATTTCTAAATTAAATCTCTTGTTTCGCAGGTGGCCAAAGCAACATATGCTTCGTTTGCCCTGCTCTATGTTGTTCATCGTTTGAGAAACCGTGGACGTAAGGCAAATGCAGCAAAAGTTGACAATGGAGAAGGTGGGCATCAGAACCATAAATACAAAGGTGAAAGTAATCACACTAACTGCCATAATCACAGGAAAGAACCTGATATTGATTCCTGTTCTTGTGGTTGTTCTCGGAAGAAGGCCGATTATCATGACCATCAGGACCATAATGTTAGCAATGGATCACACAAAACTGGCCACCATAATAATTCCCAGGGGAATGATCATTCGTCTTCAAAAGGACATGTTCTTGATCATGATGATCGGTCGGTGCTTGCCGTTGATGCTGTTATACATTCTTCAAGCAAAACCTGCAAGACTTCGAGCATTGGTGAAGATACATCTTTAAAAGATATAGATGAAAAGCACGTTACAACTGGCCGAAAAGAATTTAATGTTTAATATCTTTAGACGTCAGACATTTTATTCGAACAACCCATGAATTCTTGAAACTAGGATGGATTCTGATTAAATAAAAAAAATGTTTAAAGTTATAAAATATTTTTAAATAAGGAGATATATTTTACTTTTTATTTAAAATTCAAAACCATTATTTAAAATTCAAAACAAAATGGTTAGATATTTTTTCCTAACCTAATTTTTAGCGATTTGCCGTTATTGTGCAGTTGCAATAACCGTACAGTTGTCATATGTAGGATGTTTCTCTTAGTCAGTGGCACAGAAATTTGGACAATACATTTATGGATAATTTCCGTACGTCATTTGTTGGCCATTGTCATGTGCTCACTCATCGAAAAATTAAGTTTGCCCTCGTAGCAAATGGACTGTTGTATGGGTAGCAAGGGTTTTTCAAAATATTACAAAACACAAAAGTAAAAAACATTAAGTTCGGGCGGCCCAACCTTTTAATACCCTCCACCTTAGGGTATAGGACACATAGAAGAAATGTGGCAAAGACCATTAAAATGCCGAATATCGGGGGACGTTATATGGGGACTATACCAAATCGTGGACCTACACATGCAATGTTTCGCCAAAGGAGCTAGAACCCATTATGACCTAGAAATACCAATTTTCAGACAAATCCGTGAAAAAATGTGGCAAAAATCATCAAATTACCGAATATCAGGACGTACCATTATCTGGGGGCTATACCAAAACGTGGACCTATAATTTCAATGACTCGCCGCACGAACTGGGACCCATTATGATCTACAACTACTAATTTTCAGAGAAATTCGTGAGAAAATGTGTCAAAATTCACCAAAATACCGAATATTGGGAGGTACCTATATATGGGGGCTATACCACAACGTGGACCTATACATGCAATGTTTTGCCACACGCTCAGGGACCCGTTATGACCTAAAAATATCAATTTCCAGACAAATCCGTGAAAAAATGTGGCATAAATCGTCAAAATACCGAATATCGGGAGGCACCGTTATATGGGGACTATACCAGAACGTGGTCCGATATATCTCATTTTCAATACCACCCATCCTAGACACAATGCAAATAGCTCTGCTAAATTTTGGGGCTCTACGTCAAATAATGTGGGCTGTATCGTGATTTCAACAGACAGACAGACGGACAGACAGACGGACATCATTAAATCGACTTAGAATTTTATGCTGATTATGAATATATATACTTTGTGGGGTCTAAGACGAATATTTAAGGATGTTACAAACGGAATGACAAAGTTAATATACCCTCCTTTCCAAGGTGGAGGGTATAAAAAGAGAAACTTCAACCAAACGTTTCGTTAACCAAATTTCAAAGTCGATTTAGCCATATGCGTCCACCCGTCCGTGCCTCTGTTGTAATCTAAATGCCATTTGAGAGAAATGTAAGATTTTGCGTTGGTCCGCGTTTCCTAAAGGCTCACATATAGATGTAATATGGACCCATGTTTTCGTATAGGTCCCATTGAATTGATTTTAGCATTTTCTCAGGATTTTAGCATTTTCTTCTAGCAAACGATCTTAAAATCTGGTGCTTGGAGTTAATAATAGTACACACTCCATGTCCATGTTTTCGTATACTCTCCATATAATAGCTTAAAAATAAATATTTGGAGTTCATAATGGGCTCAACTTTCTGTGGCGGAACATTGTCTATATATGCTCACGTTTTCATATAGCCCCGGTATAATGTTACATCACAAATACATATGTTACGATTTTGTGCCAATTTTGCAAATCTCAATGCCGATGAAATTTGGCACAAGTGTGTGTATTGTGTCTAGGATGGTTGGTATTGAAAATGAGAAAGTTCGGTGTATGATTTTTCATAGCTGCCATAAAACGGTACCTCCCGATATTCAACATTTTGATGATTTTAGCAGCATTTTTCAACGGAATTATCCAAAAGAGTTTGTAATGGATTTTACCCTTGGCGGCAGAACATTTGTTGTATGTGTGCATGTTTTGCTATACTCTCCATGAAGCATGGCAGAACATTGTGCATGTAGGTTCACGTTTTTGTATAGCGCATCAATAATGGTGCCTTTTGATAACTGGTTTCTTCATGATTTTAACGACATTAGTCACCAGATTTGTATACCCTCCACCATAGCATAGAGGGTATATTAAGTTTGTCATTCCGTTTGAAACACCTTGAAAAATACATTTTAGGCCCCACAAAGTATATATATCCTTGATCAGCATAAAATTCTATGTCAATTTTGATGATTTTTAGGATGCAGGTCCAAGTCGTCGTATATACCTTAATATAAAGCTACATTCGGTAATTTTAAGATTTTAATAAAATTTCTTACAGATTTAATTTTTTTTTTTGAAAATTGCCAATTCGTTCCAAATGGTGGGTGATATTTAAAGGTTGGCCCGGCCGAAGTTACACCTTTTTTACTTGCTTTTTTTGAATTCAGATTTGAATTTCCTAATGGATAATATAACCTCTGACAGAAAATTGCGTATGCCGGTCCAGGTCTTCGTATAGCCTCCATATAACGGTAACTACCTATATTCACTGTTTTTATACCCTCCACCTTGAAAAGGAGGGTGTGTTATCTTCGTCATTCCGTTTGTAACATCCCTAAATATTCGTCGTAGCATAAAATTCTAAGTCGATATAACGATGTCCGTCTATCTGCCTGTCGATAGAGTCCCATTATTTGATGTATAGCTTCACAATTTGGCAGAACTTTTTATATAGTGTCTACGATGGTATTGAAAATGAGATATATCGGTCCACGATTTGGTATAGCCGCCATGTAACGGTACCTCCCGATATTCCGTATATATTTATTTTGATGAATTTGATTTGTCTAAAAATTGGTATTTGGAGTTCACCCAATGGTGGAGAGAGTATTAAAAGTTCGACCGGGCCGAACTTAATGCTTTTTTACTTATTATGATTTTAGCAGGATTTTCCACTGGACTTTGTTTGAAACCCCAAATTTTGGAGGGTATTCAAAGTTCGACTCGGCCGAACTTTTTGCTATTTTACTTGTTGATATATTAAACATGGGATATGTTGTAGGTCCATGGTTTGTGTTAGTCTCCATATAACTGTAGCCCCCGTTTTAAGGAATATTTGGGCTTTTATTCAAATTTTTTAAACGAAGTTGTGTTAGTGTTCCCAGCAGACATAAGACATCCTTGAAAGAACATCCTTTAAAATTGTGGTCATGAGCCCATTTAACGGTATACCCCGATATTGGGTATTTAGACCAGAGATTTGAGTGACAATTTTTAAAGTAATTTTTTCAAAGCTGGTATTTGGTTTTTGAATATGTTTCGATCTGACACTCAAAGAAAGCTCAGGATATACCCGGCCTATATTCAAAATGAACAGAAAATGTACAGTGTTGCCGATCTCTATTAAATGACCTGTAGTTTCAGTATACATTCTCTTATAAAAATGCGTATAGAAGTAAATTTATGTATTGTCGAAGTGTCGTTTTTCCGATGTACCTCAAAATTGTTTATACTCTCAAGATTTGATATGACTCTCCCCTCTTTCCCCTTTGTTCACCTTAAACAATGATTAGTGTTTGTATAAGAGCATGAAAAGTTTTGTTAAGCCGCAGAAGCAACTAATATTATTGTTAAAAGTATATTTTTATACCCACCACCACAAGGTGGTCAGGGTATTATGTATTTTAGCATTTGTTTGTAACAGGCAAAAGGAAACGAGATAGACCCATAGTTCCTTTTGATGATCTGCATTGAATCACATTCTGAGTCGATTTATGCATGTCCGTCCGTCTGTTCGTCGTCCGTCCGTCTGTCTACATATTTTTGTAAACAAAGTACAGTTCGCATTTATTGCCCGATCCAGATGAAATTTTGCACAAAGGACGAACTCTATTGAAATTGGAGATAATGGGTAAAAATGTAGATATAGCTCCCAACAATATGGCCATAACTCCTTAAATATTGAGTTTTCGGCGTTTTTAGCTATTATTTGTGATCACTTTTTTAAGAGTGAATTAATAAAAACTTTAAAATGGCCATAACTCCTTAAATATTGAGTTTTCGGCGTTTTTAGCTATTATTTGTGATCACTTTTTTAGGTACGAATTAGTAAAAACTTTAAAATGGCCATAACTCCTTAAATATTGAGTTTTCGGCAATAATATTTGGGAAAAGAACAGTGTGGCTTGTTTGTTCGGGATACCGTAGTATTTTGTTTTTGCAAAATGGTCTGGCTTTATCCCTTTATTGTTGTTTTTATAAAAACAACGTTTGTTTATTAGTGGAGAACGATGGTAATGTTTACCAGGGGGTAAGGCAGGGAATACCTAGGTTTCGGAAAGAGCCACCAATCCTCATCAGTTCCCTTGTTTTTGCCTGGGATATTCTCCCCAGAAGTCATTTTAAAAATAACTTCTATGACAAAAAACTTTTTTTACCCAAGTGACGAGATCGTAAGCTCAATAGAAGAGGAACCAAAGAATTAAATAAAACTAAAATTCTCTTTCGTTCAGGCTGAACGAAAGCATAACAAGTGGAGAAAAGATGTAAATGTTTATAAGTGCGGTTGTAAGATTTAGAAGACTTTCCAAGAGAATTTTAGTTTTATTTAATTCTTTGGTTCCTCTTCTATTGAGCTTACGATCTCGTCACTTGGGTAAAAAAAGTTTTTTGTCATAGAAGTTATTTTTAAAATGACTTCTGGGGAGAATATCCCAGGCAAAAACAAGGGAACTGATGAGGATTGGAGGCTCTTTCCGAAACCTAGGTATTCCCTGCCTTACCCCCTGGTAAACATTACCATCGTTCTCCACTAATAAACAAACGTTGTTTTTATAAAAACAACAATAAAGGGATAAAGCCAGACCATTTTGCAAAAACAAAATACTACGGTATCCCGAACAAACAAGCCACACTGTTCTATTAATAGACAAGGCACGGTCGACGAAGGCGTTTTTGTTGTAACAGACAAAACCAACTTACATGGTTATGCTACTTCGTTCAGGCTGAACGAAAGCATAACAAGTGGAGAAAAGATGTAAATGTTTATAAGTGCGGTTGTAAGATTTAGAAGACTTTCCAAGAGAATTTTAGTTTTATTTAATTCTTTGGT